TTTTTGGGGAAGTAATCAGTAATTAGTTACTGATTACTTTTTTCAAGTAACTTGACCAACACTGGTGTTAGGTGGTCCAAAGCTGAGATTAGAAGAGAAATATCAGCATGATAAAATAATATAATACTCAAATAAAAAGATAAAACCCCAAATCTATATATGCACTCAACAGACACTTTACCTTATACAATTTTTGAATTCAATTTAATTTATTTAATTTAACAAAATATGGAGAAAAAAAACACCTTGACTATAATTATTTCATTGTATTAATGATACTAATATTAGCCTGGAAAGAGCACAACATGCACAAAAAATATTCACTAACATGTTTACTGTAATGTGCCAGAACTGTGTTCACAACTTATTTCTTTAAAAAAAAACAGTCAACGATAAGGGACGTAGCAATAGCACTTTAATTTAATGAATTATACTTCAACCACTGAAAGGCTCCACAGGACTGTTAACAGAGTTTTGGAGTCTCTCACATATATTCTGAAATATTTCTTCTGAACAACATGAATACTGAGAATTTATTCTATTAAATTCTCACTAAATCCTCCTGAATAGTTCTACTGGGAAAGCAAAATGGGTACTGTTTTTTGGAATCTCAGAATTACATCTGTGCTTTTTACAGATGATGAGGTTTGATTGGGTCCATCAGAACATGACTTTCAGCACGCTCTGAGTGGGTTCTCGGGCGAATGTGTGGGATGAGAGTCTGAGTCAATGGTCCTCTGCTGAAAAATGGTGGATTACTCCACCCTGCATTGCCGCCTGTAAGGTATTGTACCAGAGTGTAAAAATATACCTGAGCTAGAAAGTGAGCCATAGGTAAGGGTTGGAATGGCTGAAAAAATGAGGTTGTTTTACAAATAGTTAAAGTTAGTTTCCAATGTAGGGTGGCTGGCCTCTCCTTTAGAGATAGATTGAGGAGCACTAACATCGAGAAGTAGAACTTCTGCTCCTTTGCATCAAAAGGAGGTTTTGGTGTCTCATCAGGATTTGTCCTGAGCAGCTCCCCTTGGAGGTTTAATTGGACACTATCAGTTGGGAGGAGACTCCAGGCTAGGTTGAGAAGGTGTTGGAAGCATCAGGTCTGGGAATCCCTCAGAATCCCTAAAGAAAAACTGGAGGAAAGGAGTTCTGGAATATCCTTTCCCGACTGCTGCCAACATTACCAGACTTTGGATAATAGGAAGAAAATAGTTGGTTGGACGCACATAGCAGACCATAACTGAAATTGACAGACCTTTCTTGGGCAGAGTTAATCTCAATTACTAGATTTCTGTATACTATTAGGAATATAGATAAGAAACAAAATTTTTGGTACTGGAAAGCCTACGTGGTCTCAGTTTATACTCCGTGTTCTTTTAACCTGTGATGTTTGCTACGACTTTGTTTACTCCTAGTAAACAGTTTGCATGAAGAGAAAATGAGGAACTTTGTTTGTCAAACTGCAGTCTCCAAAACATGCTATATTCTCTGATGATGAGTTAGCTTTTTATTTGATTTAGCCAAAACAGAAAGTTTTGGCCAGGACATCCATTTCCTACACTGACAGCTAAAAAAAAAAAAAAAAATAGAAATTGGTGATTGTTCCCTGAGGCTGAGTCTGCAGACGATAGCCGATGGGTTCCTAGATTGACTCTGACTTATCCTCCACGGAGACACATCGGTATTGCTTCAGGAAAGTCAACATTAAGCCTATTAAAATGACCTTGACCGCTGAAATGAAATGTATTGCTGTGATGTGGGAAAGTGATACTTCACCATTTATTTCCATGTAGGTCAGAGAAATATCCTTTTATATGACATCTTAACTCACTTAAAAAACCCACTTTTTTAATGAAACGTTTTTTTGGAAGGTTGTTGTTTATTACATAAGAAGATAGCTGTTAAATTGAACTTTGTCTTTGGTGAACGGCTCAAGTTCCAACTGTATTTTATCACATATTTAGCAGTGTGGCGGCTCAGTGGTTATGTGTGGCATTTTAATGATATGTTTGTGCTTGTGTTTCTCCCAGCATCAGAGCATGCTGACTAAATACTCACATCACTGTGCCCTTGAACAAGGCACTGCCTTACAGCTGGAGTTGCTCCCCAGGCCCTACTCTTCCTAATGCCTAGCATCGGTTAATGCAGGGAATGAGTTTTCCTACAGCGATCAACAAAGGAATTCTTATGTCCATTTGTTTTTTAAAAGTAAAAGTTACCCACCAAAGTCAGAAAAGACATCACCAACATTAAATCTGACACATGAAATAAATATCAATTTACTACTCTGACAATATTGCTTAAAAGTGGCTACAAATCATTCGTTTTTCATACGTTTCTCTTCCTGGAAGATGCTTAAATCTTCCAGCTCTTGTTAGCAGTGGCAGTTGACTGAGAGCAGAGGCCTACCCTCAGCCCTTTTAAGAGCATGGATTAGAAAGCTTCAGGGTACAGAATTATCTGATAAGGCCCTACAATGGGATTAATTGGTGCTGCTGGAAATTGGTCTGCTTTTTACCAATAAATAATTTGAACGAAAGGAAGCAAACAGCTTTTACATATAAAAAAAAAAAAATCCTTTTTTCTTCCTTTTCACATAGCTTTCAGTCTGATTATTGGATGCTTCATTCTAGACTGAGATGTTCTAGAAAAAGAGAAAATAATAAGAGTATCAAATGATTTCATTTTATTGCCAGAAAAAAAGAAATGAAAGAATAAATTACATAACAGATGATTCCCCAATATCTACTAGAGGACTGCTTTTCTGTTCCAAAGCAACGACCTTGGAAAGA